ACAACAGCTTGAAGCTTGCCAGGTGAGCAGCAGATAGGAGAGAGAGAGAGAAAGAGAGAGAGGAAAGAGAGAGAGTGGGGGAAGAGGAGTGGCAGGCAGACCAACGGCAGACAGAGAGGGAGGGAGAGAGAGAGAGAGAGAGAGAGACCCTTTTGACATCTAAAATGAAGATAACACTTCATATATCCTTTTTTTACCTGTATGTGTATGTGTATATATATATATATATATATATATATATATATATATATATGTATGTATGTATGTGTGTGTGTGTGTGTGTGTATACATACATATATACACACACACACATATATATATATACACACACACACACACACACACAAACACACACACCTATAATAAAGGTAAAAAAGGATATATGCAGTGTTATTTTCATTTTAGATATCAAAAGGATTTTGCGGCTCCCGGTGTTTTGTTTTTGGTGGGAAATGGGTCCAAGTGGCTCTTTGAGTGTTTTGGGTTGCCTACCCCTGCCTTAGAGGAAAGGTTCTGATAAATGTATTTGGTTACAAATTATAAGGGTTGTCCAATCAGTGACCATCTGTGGTTTTATTAATATTGCTGGTCACAGTCCAGCGCTTTCCAATATGGTGTCCTCATCAAGGTATACCTGGAACTCAATGTAATGACCTTCATTACAGACAATAACCCTGTTTGCTTCTCTACAGTTTCCAGGGTGTTTCCTAAACTGTGTTTAGGCCTTGAATTTTTTTATACTTGCTCTTTTGGAATAATGTTTCTGTTTTTTCAATTTGCTCTGTGGTTGCATGTTCATGATCTTTTATTTTTCTGCCAGTAGCCCTCAGTATTCTGGCTAAGTGAAGGGAAATGCAAAAGGTATTAGATACAACAATAAATGGAACAATGTTGTTATTGGGACTTACTATCCTTTCTGGTAGCAAGAATAGGCTCCTTAATAATATTACAGTCATATAATGGTGCTCTTAAGTAGGTTACGCTACAGGGGCTATCAGGAAGAAGGCCTGCTTAACACTTACAGGATAGATCCAATTTAATGCAAGCAAATTATTTTATTTTCCTAAGAATTACATTTATACTTTTCTCACAAAACGTTCCATGTGCAAATTCCTTGGAAAATCCTCCATTTGTTGACATGGTAAATAATGTGAATGTTTGATGTGGTAGTGGGAACTTCAATCTGAACGTTATTTGCACTCAGACAAATCAAAAATTCAGTAGTGTCCTTAAAAACCAGGAGCTTCCAAAAATACACTGTAGAAAATACTGATTGATGTGGGATATGGAAGATCCTATGTCAGTGGTGGCGAACCTATGGCACGCATGCCAGAGGCAGCACTAAGAGCCCTCTCTGTGGGCACGTGCACCATCACCCCAGCCCTGTCTCCCCCCGCGGCCCCCTTACAGCAGCCCCCCAGAGGAGAGTCGACCCCGGCGCAGCCCGCGTGGAGCAGCACGGCAAGCACATGGCAGCCGAGCAGCAGGGACAAGACTCTGCCCTCGCGCCCCATCAAACGCACATGATGCTGTTGGGTACGGGCGGAGGGTGTGGCCGCCATGGCGCTGCAGGGCTGCCTGGGCGATCTGCTGCAGCAGGCCGTGGAGGTGGTGGGTGGCCCTGCGGGCGGGCAGGGGAGCAGTAGAAGGGGTGGAGTGGGCGGGCGGAGCAGGGTGGTTTTTGCGCACTCGGTCTCTAAAAGGTTTGCCATCACTGTCCTATGTTTTTCCTAAGAATTGAGGATAATGATTAATTATAATTAATAATTATAAGTATTATTATTACTATTACAATAATCATTATGCCTACAAATTTCTGTTACATGTATTTCAGGGAGAGCAGAGCAAGTGGTAGATGGGGAAGAAAAACGTAAGATGATTCTCCATTCTCTTAAGTGAGGATAAACAAGTTGGAGGGCTTCTGTTGAACTTTGGGGTGGTTTACTAGGAAATATGTTTCCAAAAATAAGTAAGGTAAAGCCAACTCTGTCAATGAACCATGAAAAAACAAAAGTTGATTTATTTAATTTTAATTAAATTAACATGAAATGTTTTAATTATAATTTATATAATTATTTCAAGGTACAGGTAGTCCTTGACTTACAATTATTCAATCAGCGACTGTTCAAAATTACAACAGCGATGAAAAAAAGTGACCATTTTTCACACTTACAACCATTTGCAGCATCCCGTGATCACATGATCAAAATTTGGATGCTTGACCACTGTCATATATTATTGACGGTTGCTGTGTCCCAGAGTCGTGGAATCACCTTTTGTGACCTTCTGTCAAGCAAAGTCAATGAGGAAACCAGATTCACTTAGCAACCCTGGCAAGAAAAGTTGTAAAATTGGGCAAAACTTACTTAACAACTGTCTTGCTTAGCCACAGAAATTTGGGGCTCAGCAGTAGTCATAAGAGAAGGAATACCTATAATATATAATGTCTGGTGGGTCTTAGAAGCCACAATCAAGGCTGTTAGAAACGGCATGAGGTCCTGGCATCAGTAGTTCCTCTGTGTTTAAGTCTAAGGCAGGGGTAGGCATGCTGGCTCAGGAATTCTGGGAGTTGAAGTCCACAAGTCATAAAAGAGCCAAGGTTGCCTACCCCTGGAAGGAAACATCTGATGAATCATTACAATCTTTGGTTTTGGCACACAACAGATACATCTCTTGTCCAAACATGTTGTCCCTCTCCCTCTTTCTTCTGCACATTCAGGGCTTTTTTTGTCAAAGAACGCCCAAAATGGAGTTCCGGCACCTTTTTTGGATGGAACCTTGTAGGGTAGGCAAGGCGGGTTGTATGACGTGTGTGAGTTCCGGCACCTTTTTTTTTTTTTTTAACAAAAAAAGCACTGTGCACATTCATGATGAAACTTGATTCAATCAGAATCAGCTAGATCACAGTGTAGTTGGAGAAACTGTATACACGTTACCATCCCATTCTAAGTTTAGATTCTGCTTTTGATTTATTTTTAGTTATGACAGATGACAGATGCCCAACTTATAACGTGATTCTACGTTTAGTTAACTTTCACATGACCTGCTAAGCCAATGTGAACTATTTCTAAGTTGGCAAGTATTATTTGAAAGTTATAGCTGTAGTCCTCAACTTACAACCATTCATTTAGTGATTGTTGAAGTTACAATGGCCCTGACGTATGATTGTTTTTCACACTTACGACCATTACAACATCCTGATGGTCATGTGATCTAAATTTGGATGCTTGGCAACTGGCATGTATTTATGATGGTTGCAGTGCCCCGGGATCATGTGATCATCTTTTGCGACCTGACAAGCAAAGTCAATGGGGAAGTCAGACTCAATTAACAACCATATTTCTAATTTAATAACTACAGTGATTCATCTAACAATTGTGGTAAGAAAGGTCATAAAAGGACCAAGTTTGAAGACCCCTGCCCTAGGGAACGTAAATTGACTGAATATAAAAAAATCAGTTCTTGCTGTTGTCAGTTTTCTTACTGCAAATCACTGGAATGATCTCTGTCTTTCACTGGAGCAGTAGTACCAGTATTTACATGTGTGAGTTATTTGCTGGGGCTGAACACTTAATACAACAACATAAATGCAAGAAAGATAAGTTTATTCAAGTGGACAGTTATTACCTTAACCATATTTTCCTAGTTGATTTCTCTTGTCCTCTGTGCAAATTTTAGTCTGCATGGAAATACAAATAAGGATATTTAGAAAGGCACAACTAGAGGCACAAATATTGTACGGGTGAGTTGGGTCAGGGAGGTAGTCAAAGTCATAGTTTACTGATAAGACAAAATGCTGTTAAAAACAATGGAATATGCAAAACTGAAAATGTCTGCGGACACCCGGACTGAAAAGTAAAACATTTAAAAATTAATCACCCTTCGGAAATGGTTGTTTGTCTGGTTAATTTTAACCTTTTTTGTAATTTTATAATTACCCATTCCACTTATCCCATATGTTTTATTTAGTGATATACGTTCGCAAATAATGTATATCACAAATAAATATCCAGGATGGTTTCAACTGAAGTTACATGCACCAACCTTAAGGTGACAAAGTGGGAAGCCAGACACAGATTTTTATTTCTCTTCTACACAAACATACCTGTCCACTAATAAATAAATGTCCACTTTCTTTAAGGGATATTCACCTTAAATTCCATTGTCATTCAAGTAAATAAACAGATATGTACTTTCAAGCATTTGTTTTTCTTTCTTTTCTTTTGTTTGAGGTTATTTTTTTCTTTCTAACAATGGATTATTTATTTCTCTCATGTTGTCTCTTTAATAAAAGAAAAAAGCAAGGATTTATGCTTTGTTCTTTAGCCAAAATAAAAAAGGCAACCAGAGCAGCTTCACAAAGATCGGTAGTAAGGAAGTCCCTGCCTGCAGGTATATAATATTTTTCTGAAGATTATGCAGTCACTGAACTTTCCAATGCATTTTTTAAGACTGCAGCAATGTTGATATATCTTCTGTACTGAAGAAACAATATACACATTATTTTTTAAGGGATATAATCCAGCAAAATTTGAAAGTAATGTATTATGACGATATGAAAATTATTACTGAATTTTGATTTAACTTTTGCTGGATTGTTTCAGCAATCCTGAGTTAACTAGATCAATAAACTGGTTTGGTACCGTAGCTTTCTAGTTTGCTTTCTCTTGCGAACACAAAAGTATATTTGGATGTAACCTGCATCCTTCTATTCATGCCCATCATAGCTCATCTTGATTCATTCTGGATGGGCTCCTTACCCTGCAATTGTATATATTTTTTAGACTACCAGAACATGGGATGCAAAAATCCAGAAACGGCTAGATGGCAGCAAAGCAATACAACTCCAACTCCTTGCTGCCATCCAGTGGTCCTCCCAATTTTTGCATCCCTGTTTGGGTATCTACTTTTTACGTACAAATTCTCCCTTTGTTTTGGAGTACTGCTCCTCTCCCAAACGGAACATTACCTATGCACTTTATTCTCTCTTCTCTCTCCAGATTTCCATTGTCTGGAGTATGAAAAAGGGTATATGAGGCTCTTTGAAGAAGGAAACCCAACCCAAACCTGAAGTAGCTGCCACTTCCTCTGCCACCTCTGTGACTCCATTCTTGTTGCTATTCTTCTCTACCAGGAGACAGGTCTGTTCCTCTAGATTGCTGCTGTCACCTTACCTTGGCTGAAGCCATTTGATGGAGGATTATTGGAGAATGTTTCCTGAACTCCCAGTGACCAGATAAGAAGGAAGAAGCCTAAATCTTCATCCTATGGCTTCCATTTGGTGGCATTCTGGATCAGAGAATAATAGTTCAATATGGTTCCAAATCTTTCCTGGTGTTAGCTGTCTGAACTCTACTTCTGTTTAAAGCCTGCATGATTCCATTTCCTCATTTAATTTTGTTCTCTTAAGCTTTGCTGTGTCACTTTTCCTGCTCTTCTCCAATGTTCAAGGTAACATAATATTTTGCTTGATGGTAATTATAGGTTTTTCAAGAAGTGATACAGATATGAAATAAATGTAGTCCATTGACCTTCTAAGGTCTTTAAATGAAGCTATTATCATTGCAATAAAAATATGGTTTCAGAACAGAGTAGAGCACCAATTTTCCATACTGATGAAATATATAGTAATTGAAAAAAGTTTCTGCTGTCCATTTTGCTTAGATCCAAAAATCGGAATATTGATTTCCCCAATTTCATTGCATATCCAGATTTAGGCTAATCCTATACCCCTCTTGGAGATTTCCAAATAAAGCTCTGTGTGATGCCATTCTTAATAAATAAATCAACATAGGCATAACATATGATTGTATTTATTCTCTGTCCAGTTAATATGTTGCTAATGTGGGTGATTCACTACTGGGAAATGCAACAATGGATATTAACATTGAACCACCATTTCAATAATAGAAAGCTTCATGCAACCTCTTCCACAGGGAAGGCCTGAGGAAGGAGTGAGTTAATAGATTCATAAAATTCAAAAGGTGTACTTTTATTGATGGCCCCAAAGGAATTCTTCCTGGCTTGTAACAATGGTTGCCTCCACATCTGATTGTTCTGGAGTCTCCTTTCATAAATAGGGACTTCAGCTGGCAGGAGGGCAGGGTGCTGGATCAAAGCAATGGTGTAAATGTAGGGAAAGAGTGCTCACCACCACCGCCCCTCGCCAGCAGTGTCCTTGTAACTTCTCTGCTATGGCTGGATTTGCAACTATTACTCTGGATGCTGCTATGAGATCGAAACTCCCCCCCCCGCCCCGATTCTTCACCCTTCCGGATTAGCCTCCCCATTCCTCTATGAACTTAAAGAGAATTGAGATCGCTGAGCTAGGCTGCATCCTCCCTACCCCACCCCCCTCCCCCCGCCCTCTGGCTGTCCGGCGGTCTTGGGAATCTCCCTGCTGCTATCACAGGCCGGAAAAAGCTCCTGCGTTTGCTCTGGTCTGTGCCGTCCCATGTAAACAGCCGCCGCTTCTGGAAAGAGAAGAAAAAGAGAGTAACTGCGAGGACGGGAGCGGGAAGGAGAGACGTCCACAATGCGGCTGGTTTCTTCACAAGCCTTAACTGTTCACAGATGGAGCCAAACCAAATCTGAACAGCTGGAGATCGGACAGGGACACAAAGTCTTCTTTACAGGGGGCAAAATAATTACCCAGGCTACTAAGTCCATTTCTGTGCGCACGGGCACGTTAAACATGTAACGTATGTCATATCTATACTTGGGCGCCTCTGCGCTTTACAAACAAGGGCAGGGGGACAATCTTAGCTCTTCCTCAAGCGGACCGCTGGGGGCCTCTTGATTAAAAGCTGTTGTCAAGTATCTCAACGCGGCAAACGCATCGATCTGCTCCGCCGTTCCTCTTCCCACGCCAGCCTGCATTTCCACAGGATCGATACGATTAAGCAGTTACGAGTCGAAAAACCTCAGATGCCCGCTCTCCTCGCGGCACCGTTAACGTGCGAGGTGGAAGGCTATCCAGAGGCCCGGCGAGGGGCTTTGCTTCTTCCTGGGAATCCGTATGGAGCCGTGGGAGAGGCCTCGGCCCTTTAATCCCTTCAAAGACACCGACGCGATTCAAGCCTTTACAACTCTTTGGAACCCTTCGCGGGGCCGAGGGTTGTTTGGATAGGAAGGCCAGATAAAGATATCGCCCTCCTCCCTCCTCTCCCTTTCTCTTTCGCGGCCGGACGGCCCCTTAAAAGGTTTCAGTGGCAACACGAAAACAATTGAGCGCGGCCACCGCGGGGCGGCTCAGGTTACCTGGGGAAAGTAAGAGAAATGTCATCTAGCGGCGGGGAGGAGCAAAGGGCCGCCTCCCGCCTGTGCCCGCCCCCGCCCCTTCCTCTTTCCCAAGACGCTCTTGCCGTACAAAGCTCCTTTTCGGCACGTGTCTCAACTTCAGCGCGATCCCCAAAGAAGCGGCGGTTCGTTCGTCAGGCCGGGCGCAGAGAGAGTCTCCCTTCTCTTGGGCGCAGTCGTTCAGGCATGCGGGGCGCTCTGCGGCGAAAGCAGCCTACAGCCGCCCCAGCCGTTAGCCTGGCCGCTGTTTTCAAGTAAGCGCACCCACTAAAGAAGTACCAAACCGCCTGGAATCGGGACAGCTCAACAGCCGCTCTCAGGTCACTCTGGAGACGACTGCGGAAAATGGAAAGCGCGTAAAGGCGGGAACGGAGCAGCCTTTTATTTGCCAATAAAGAGAACGCAACTCCGCTTCTGAAGCAAACAATCGAGAAGTTAACTGCTAGATCATCCGAAGAGGGAAATGGTTTTGAGACGGGGTGGGGGGGGGGGAAGTGTTTGCAGTCCAACTCGCCATTTGAGAAACTTGGAAGGAATCGAGGGTCTCGCCGCGGCAGCCTCTTTGAGGGTCACCCACTTTACTTAAAAGGACGCCTTTGAATAGATTTCATTTCGGAGTGTAAAGTTCACGAATCGCATTTCTAATACTTTCTTGGGCAGCTTTCTTGCTCTGTAAAATCAGAGAACTTGAGGTCTTCATCGCCAGAAAACGTTGGACATCACTATCTAAAGGGGTCACGTTCAAAGTATTAAATAAATTGCACGACTGTTGTATATTTTTTTAATAAAAGCAAAACAAAAAAAACAACTAATGGAACCAAGATCAAATACGCCTTTCCTTTTGTTATTTACAAGGGACATATCACACATATTCTCTGGCTAGAGAAAAGTACATAGCCACTCAATGCAAACTTTAATATTGGGACCAGGTGTCCCTACGGTGAACTTTTGGCGAGTTTATTTTTTTTTAAAAAAGGAGCAAATACGAGTTACTGAGTGCCATCCAAACAGACCGTCTAGAGGCAAATATCCGTGAGATACAGCAAAAGACGTATTGTCTAAGACTCCGAGGCAAATTTTTAATCGCGATATAGGTATTTCTTAAGGAAAAGTGGGAACGCAAAAAAAAAGCAAGTGGTTTGGGAAAGATACAATGTCTTGAACGTCGAGTGAGTCTCCAGGCGGTGAGAGTCCCTTTGATCAAGAAAATCCAATTATTTGTGTATATACATTTCCCACATAGTGATTACTTCATTAATTGTCCCGCCTTTATCTCCTCCCTTCCCATCCCCCCCTAATAATCAGTTCTTTTATCCAGACCAACAAACACACCATAGGAGCTTTGTGGATTCAAAGGATTTGCTTTCGCTTCTGAAAGAGCCGCTATTCTTTGATGATTGGGCAGCGGCAAACTTCAAAGCCATAAATCTTCCTCCTGACTGGCTGGCGGCCCAGCAAAGTCCTTATCAAATTCTTGGAGGTGATCCTGGCGCAGTCAGACAGTCCGCGGAGATCGCGCTGAGCCTGGGCTGGCGGGCTGGCTGGCCGAGACTGGCCGAGTCGGCGAGGGGGGAGAAGAAATCAGGGGCGGAGGGCAAGGAAACGGGGCAGCTTTTTGGCTGCCTCTTGGCGACTTTATGTCGCGGCAGTGGCCCTCTGGCCTCTTCTCCCTCCGGACGCGATAGCCATGGCCGCGGTGGCTGTCCTGCGAAGCGACTCCCTGCAGGCGTTTCTTCAGGTTAGTCTCTAGTTGAAGATGGAGGGTAGAGTACCGGGGAGCCTACTCCCCCCGCCCGCGCGACGATATTGGAATTTCAGGCGACAAGATTGGCGGGAGACCACAAAGCGGGAAGGTGGCGAGCTGGTGGGTGTTTAGGAAGGGGGCCAGCTCACTTGGGACCCTCGGAAGTTACGGGGGTTGATTGCGCGTGTAAAATAGACTTTTGAGTAAATCCCCTGATCCTTGGGCTTTTTTTAAAAAAAATATCCACTTTTGAGAGAAAAAAAGTTTTCCCCTTTCTGCTCTCAGCGAAGGATTCCCTACAATCAAGAGCCCGCAACTGCATCTAAACCCCGCCCTCCCCTTCCAAAGCTATTGTCCTGAACTCAACTGTCTAAGTCGTCGGAAGTAGTCCAGAGTGAGGGGAGGAGGTAGATGGGCGTGAGGGTCTCTTTCAGCGGGGTTCGCTGAGAGGTTTCCAAGTTGGCACCGAACTGAAGTGGGCGGGATGAGATCGAGGCAGCACCGCGGGCTGCTGACTCCGGGCATCCCAGTTGCGGCTCATTGTCTTCTGAGAAACGCCCCGCCCAGGTGCCAGGCTCAGCCACTGGTACTTAGTGCCTGGCAGTAAACTTTTTGAGATGCTGCCTGGTATCCATCACCGGGCGTCTGCTGCTAGGTGGAGAGGAAGAAGCCCCAAGGAACAGAGATTAACTGCCTCTCTTTCCCCACCTTTTGCCACAGGATCGGACCCCCAGCGCCTCTCCCGACTTGGCCAAGCACTCACCTCTGGCTCTCCTGGCCGCCACCTGTAGCCGGATCGGGCAGCCGAGCGCGCCGGTCGCTCCCTCGGATTTCCTGCAGGTCTCCTACGAGTCAAGCTTGGGCTCCCCGTCCAGGATCTTTCACCCGTGGAGCAGCGAGATGCCAGCCCACTCCCCGGGCGGACTGCCTCCCCCGCCGCCGAGCCTCGGGCTCACCCCGCAGCCGGCTTTCGCGGGCGGCCACGAGCTGCCGCTGACGCCCCCCGCAGATCCATCGTACCCCTACGAATTTTCGCCCGTCAAGATGCTCCCGGCTTCCATGGGCGCCCTCTCCTCCAGCTGCCCTCCACCGGCTTACGTGCCCTACGCCGCCCAGGCGGCCCTCCCGCCGGGCTATTCTAACCTGATGCCCCCGCCGCCCGCCCCGCAGTCCTGCCGGCAGCTCTCGCCGGCGCCCGAAGATATCCCTTGGTGGAGCATCCAACAGGCGGCGCCAGGCCCAGGCACTTGCGCACATCGCTTCGCGGCCGCCGGGGGCCTTCCGCGCGGGCTGGTGTTGGCGCCTTCGGAGCTGGCGCAGTACCAGTCGCAGCTGGCCGCCCTGCTGCACCCCAAAGCGCCCCTGGCGGCCACAGCCAGGAGGTGCCGCCGCTGCCGGTGCCCCAACTGCCAGCTAGCAGCAGGCACCGGGCCCGACGCCACCGCCGAGCCCGGGAAAAAGAAGCAGCACGTGTGCCACGTCCCCGGCTGCGGGAAGGTCTACGGCAAGACGTCGCACCTCAAGGCGCACCTGCGCTGGCACACGGGCGACCGGCCCTTCGTGTGCAACTGGCTCTTCTGCGGCAAGAGCTTCACGCGCTCCGACGAACTCCAGCGGCACCTGCGAACTCACACCGGCGAGAAGCGCTTCGGATGCGCCGAGTGCGGCAAGCGCTTCATGCGCAGCGACCACCTGGCCAAGCACGTCAAAACGCACCAGAACAAGAGGCTCAAGGCCGGCCTTGGCCTCGGCCTGGCGGGGGGCGACGGGCGCGCTTGCGCAATCAAGCGAGAGGAGTCGCGGGACTTGTGACCTGTTGCTTGGTGTTGGTTGAGTTGAGGCGCTTTTGCGCTGCTTCTGTTTCCTCAGCCGCCCCTTGCAGGTTTCGGAGCGGGCCGCTTTCTCCTGCCGAGAAAAATTCCACTTCAGCCCCATACAGAATCTGGACATTTCGGGAAAAACCTAGAGAGCTCTTTATTTGGAGACCATTAAAGAGGAGCTAGGAGGACACACACACCCGGAAATTTTCCAAAGTATGCATCTTAGAGGCTTGCATTAGTTAGACCGATTTCCTTTGAGAAGCAGTTGGAAAATCCTTGGTCAGGAGACCTAAGGGATTGATAGTTTTCCTTGGATTCGGATCTTCACCCTCTGGAACCCATAGTCCTTGTTTGTGTGCTTTGAAGTGCAACCATGAAATCCATCTGCGGATTTGGAACTGCTCTGTGGATCTGAGATTAGCCTTCTGTGAAGAGGTTTTGTTTTTCCTTTGGATCTCCCGCAACCCCCTACACACACTTTTTTGAACTCCAGATTAAAGCTATCCTAAGATCTCATCTTCCATCCAACTCCTCCAAAGGATTACGGCTTCATTGTCAGATGCTTGTGGCCAAAAGACTGTGGTCCCATCTTCCACCACATTTGGAAACATCTGGCCATAATGGACCAGAATGCTTTTTTAAAAAAAAAAAGAAAAAGAAAAATAGAAACAGCAACATTAGCCTGGTTATTGAGTGTCTAGGTATACTTTTTTGCCTTGTATTTAGGGCAGTGTTTCTCAACCTTGACCATTTTAAGGCATGTGGACTTCAACTCCCAGAATTCCACAGCCAGCAATGCTTAAGTCCACATGCCTTAAAATGGTCAAGGTTGAGAAACACTGGTTTAGGGTGAGAGATCAGCCCTTTGTATACAGTTTATTTAAAGCTTTGGGAAAAATCATTCCTCTTTCCATCCCTCCCCTTATTTTTATTCTTGACTCCCTTATGGGGACTACACCATGAGAAGTTTGAAGTGACCCACAGTGTGTCAGCATGCTAAAATAAATGCATCAACCCTGGGGTCATATTGGAAAGATCACACTGAGCTGATTTCATCTGATTGTTTATTTCTTTTGAAACTTTTTGAACATATACCACTAAGCCATTTTAAGTGTTTGTTTCACTTCAACCAATGCCCCATTTAGTTGGAGAGCACCTTAGTATGAGCTCCAACCTGCAGCTCATATTAACTCAGCATTGAAAAGATCACCTATATTTTCCTTGTGGAATATATTATGATGGTATAAAATGTGTGAGTTTTTATTGCTTTATCTATTTTTTTTAAAACAATGATTGATCAGAGTTGTAACATTAAAACATTACAAGGAAACAATAATGTATATATACTGTTTGCACCCCAGTGGAAAACTGCAAAGTACAAGGAGCTTGATCCAAAAAGAGAAACAGAAATCAACTACTGTACAATTATATTGAAGAATTTATGTTTAGCGGTGTTAAAATCAGCAAGACTTATTTCTGTGTAATAAGAACCACCACACCAAAGTTAAAGTATGTTTTTATTTAACTTCCATTGTCTTCATTGGGTTTAGGAGTGCTTAACTTGCAAGATCATGCTTAAGGTCGAAAAAGCACCATACAGTATGACTTGTTACTAGAAGATATATTATATGGCAGTATAATGCTGTAGGAGTATGGTTTGTCAGAGTCTTGCCATTTTTGTTCAGTCTTCTGCACTGCTAAAATTGTTTCACATTGAAATTGTTTCCCCATCTTTAAATGGACAAGATGAAAATCAAGAAAATCAAGTTTGAAGTTTCTTTTTCATTTCCAGATGTCAGAAAAAGGCTGCAGTTTTGTACCATATGCGCATAACTTGGGAGTGAGATTTATTAAGTGCTCCTAACGCACCTAGAAAATATCCAACTTTTTCTGAGCCACAGATTTTATTTCTCTATTATATAAACATTTATCAAAGCAGTGAGAGCCCCTAAGCGTTCATCTTGTAAAGCCTGCAAACTGTCAGATCTCAGCCCTGTAAATTTGTAATATAAATATAATACAAAAGGAAAATTCCGTATTCTTTGAAAAATAATTTGTCAACTACATCTTAAAATAAAGATTTTGTTACAAACTAACATGTATTCTCATTTAAAGTACAAAAACAAATCCAGCTGGAGCTTATTGAATAAAATTCAAGTTTGTGTTCCCAGTTTAGTAAATAGCAACATCACAGTGAACTGTTCTAGGACTCTGGTACTAGTGAAAATATCCATCTGAAATAAAATGGTTTAGTTGCATTTGCAATTTTATTATTTTTTAATGTAAGCATTTGGTAAATCGTATAAATATCAAGATGAATTTGTTTTCAAGGTACTGCATTGGGTTAAGCAATTTAAAAAAGAAAACTGTCAAAACTGATCTCCTGTATAATTGTTGCAGTTCTTTAGAACATCTTGCAATTAATTTTATAAGTGCTTGCTTACAGGTAAATTTTATTATTGTATTTTCAATGAAGCTTATTCTTATGAACTGCAGTCCTGAAGAGAGAACATAGAGTAGTAGCTGCTATTTTTTAAATATTTCTTATTTTTTACAATATACAATAATGGTTATCCTTTTTCAATCTAATAAGAAGATAGGTTGATTGTATTTTTATACAAAGAATATATTTTTAAATATATAAAGAATATAATCCTTTTAATATATTATGAACAGGATACTTGTTTAGGTTCATCTTTTATGAGATACATCTTCATTTTTTAAATAAGCATCCTATATTTTCCTAAACTGAAGTCTTCCGTCAGTATTAGCTAGCATGCTCATGCAACTTGATAATGGTAATTTCTGGAGAAAATTGCTGTATATTCTGCAAAGCAGTGATACAGAATAAACCTCTTTGCACATAGGATTTGCTTCTGAGAAGACACTGGTTTGCATTATATTTATCCTATGTAACTGGGTAAGACCATGTGACACATACAAATCAATTAAGATCAACTATGTCAAACTGATTAGACTGGGATTGCTTTAAAGCAAACACTTCAGTTTTATATTTAAATGAATGAATGTAACTATCTGTATAAGATATTTAAATCAGCGATTTCCAACCTATCCCACTTGGCCTGGCATTGGAGGGGAGGAAGAGGAGATGGTTTCATTTGAGTTGTGCTGAGAGTGCAAATACCCGCTGTTCACATGAATGGGGCTGCATGTATGAGTGCCTGCTGCTCGCACAAGTGGAACTGTGCGCATGAGGGCTCACTCATCTTTTGTGCAATGCAGTTCCAAATGGACTGTGGCTAGGTAGTGAGCCACAGCCCTGGGGTTGGAGACTCCTGATTTAAATTACATAATATAAATTCCCCAACGTTCACAAAGTCTCTGTACTCAGAAAGTCAGTCATTCTGGGCCAATTCTAATTGTCGAACAGTATGTTTATATATTTCAGATTGTCTTAAGTTGGATCTGGGTTAATTCATTTTGCATTTTGTTATAGCATTCTCTAGCAGCTTGCTTTCATAATAAGGAAATATTTTAGATTATTTATTTGATACATTGATTATAATTCATGTGTTTATTTATTGTACGTATATGCTTCTTCCTCCTATGATGCTAGATAGCTCACAGTAAAACAAAAACAGATATGGCATTGTACATTAAAATATGTTCAAATAGTAACACACATCATGTTGCCTTTGAACTAAATATAGCAAACTGGATTGCTTCAGTTATATTCTATTGTATTTATACTCCAAAGTCCTGTTGGAAATGATCTTAATTACTTTTTAACATGATAATAGCAAATCACCCATCCCAATCTCAACTAATTTAATTTTCCCCTTCACATGCCATGATGTGATTATAATGGATCCAGAGTCCAGAACTTGGTTATACATTCTCTAAAGCTGCAGATCTATATCCTCCTAAAGTTAATGGTGACTAATTTTCATCAAATTTGATGCATTAATTAGGTAAAATTAACATAAAATATGTCAGCTGGGCAATTTATGAAGAATCTGAATCCAGTCTGTAGTGTCCACACTAATCTTCCCTCTCTTTGCTTATGGGCAATGGCTTTTCCTAGCTTGGTGTCCTCCCACTGGATCTGAGTGACTGCTGCTAGAATTTCCAATCAATCTGGCCAATCATTGGGAATTCTGGAAGCCACATCCAGAAGCCATTGAGTTGGGGAAATACACTGTACATTATGAAAGCACTAACACAGGGAGTTAATAATCATTTCAGAGATGATGTGAAGAAGACCTCACATTTCCAGGATTTCATCACATTCTTAGGATATTCCTATTTTTGCCAAACACACAATAGTTGTGAATACTTTTATTTCAGCAACAGTATTGGTCTACAAAAGTACAGTATAGCTAGGATATAGCCAACCAATGGTTTTTACTAAACTGAACTTGTCCCATATTTTTAAGATAACAATAATCACATGTATATTTGCTGCTGATTTTGATTCATTGATACCCAACTTATGGTAGTCTTACTTCAAACTGATCCAACAAAATAAATGTACATCCAATTGGCAATACTGCTGATTCCAGGGTAACAGCAATACTTCCTGCTCAATCCAATGCTCCTTCTCAGAAGTAAGGTGCTTTATTTCTTTAGGGAAATTAGGCCTAGAAGTTTCTTCTCTTCTAAACGTATACAAGAAGAAATATTTATAGGGGAAAGAGGTGGTTCCTGCATATTTAATCTTTGGTCATTGTTTTATAATTTCTTTTATTTGGGAAGACAGCACTAGGAAGCTAAGTCATATTCTGAAATGTTTGACAGACTTGGTGCTTGTGATGTAAGATGAAGGAGGCACTGTAATGATATAAAGATAACATATTTCCATTGTGTGCTAGGGATTCATTTTTTATGTATTACATCATAGGGGAATTGAGCTTTTTTAAAAAATTATTTTATGGAGTGATGTTAGTGTGTTTATATTCTCCCTCTTGAGGGTTTAGTTGTAATTCATCTGTCATTTTGTCAAAGCTCTGTTTCCATTCATCTCCTGAAATGTTCTGTGCTGCATATTTTGTATTTTTACAGTCAACCCAGCATATTCTTCTGAGTAAAATTGCTGCAAGCAGGCAATTGCTTTCAGATTTCCATCAGTGATTATTATATCAGTGATGGAAATCTTGGTTTAAAATATTTCTTTGCTTAAGAACAAAAAAAATGGATTTCATATGTTGTATTTCCTACACTGGGTTGCATTGTTAGCAATATCTATGTATAGATGCATATATTTTGAACTGGAAAGCTTCCTGTGAATAAGCAAATTAATACATCAGTTGCAAACCTTTCTAGATTAAATTAGTCTAAGATGTTACAGAAGTGGTTAAATATTATGCATATACAGTGGGTATAATCCAGCCATGATCAATTGTACATAGGTTTAAAGATTTTGATTTGCTCTATTGATTTGAATAGGAATTAATTAGGCTGTTTTCTTCAATGAATATTCTTTTCTGAATTACTAACTTTTGGATGTCATGTGGTTTAAAAAACTACTTCCGTTTGGAGCAAGAAACTTTCCATTTTTTTCTTCCCAGTATGCCTATAGTTCAGGGATAGGCAACCTTGGCTCTTTTATGACTTGTGGGCTTCAACTCCCAGAATTCCTGAGCCAGCATGGCTCAGGAATTCTGGGAGTTGAAGTCCACAAGTCATAAAGAGCCAAGGTTGCCTACACCTGACCTATACCCATCATCCAAGCTGCTTCAGAATGATTTGGAGTTTATTCAAGGAAAGGATATACTACTGGATGAACACCAGGTTCCTGTTTGAAGTATGGCCTCAGTGTTTCCTGATTGTATTAGTTTGTAATAGTATGAAAATGACTCTCAGTAATAATTTCCTTGCATGGGATCAGATAGCAAGATAGAGAAGTATTCTGTAGCCATTCCATTCACATCATTTCACCATCAATATGCTGATATAGTAATGCACACAGTTTTTATATCTGTTATTGAGTAATATTGTAAGATGCTCTAGGTCTCTAGTGACAAAATTGCTTTGTTGACTGTTATTGGATTCTCCCATGAAAACATACCAAATCCAATATTTTTGAAAACACTGAAAAAAGGTTGCCTGTAAGGAATAAGGCTTAAGTTGTTTCTTTCTTTCACAATTGATTCAAATAGATGTTATCATCTACTTAGTATCTAAATTTGAATAAATGAAACCTCAAATAGCTCTCAGGGTCGTCAAAATCATATAAACATAGAATGCTATAAACATAGATTTGTTGGGAGATTACTCGCTTTGCAAGCATCCTGCCATAAAAGGAGATAGAAAAGAAGAAAAAAGCAGGGTTCAGTCCAAAATCAGGAAGCTGGCTTTGGAGAAAAATCCAACTTGTTTTGGCCTAATCATTTATGAAGCAAAAAGAAGGCCTGAAATAAAGTCTTCCAAGGTACAGTATGTGATCAATGTTGTGAGGTATAGTCTGGCTTTCAGTGGCTGCATTCACAATCTTCATTTTATTAAGAATAAAATATATACAAGTACTCCTTGACTTACAACCACAACTGAGCCTAAAATTTCCATTGGTAAGCAAGACAGTTGTTAATGGAGCTTTGTCCCATTTTCTTGCCAGAGTTGTTAAGTGAATCATAGTAGTTGTTAAGTTAGTAATCCAGTTGTTAAGTGAATCCGGTTTCCCCAATGACTTTGCTCATCAGAAGGTAGCAAAAGGTGATCACATAACTCCAGGCAGTTGCCAAGTGTCTGATCACATGACTATGGAATGTTACAATGGTCCTAAGTGTGAAAAATGATAATGTTGCTTTTTTCACTAAACAAATGACTGTAACTTGAGGACAACTTGTATCTTGAATAAACAATTGCTGGATTCCCACAGGGGACTATAACACCTGATTTGCCTGGATAAGGCATCAGGCTAAAAACCAGGAGACCATTAAGTTTAGTCCCACTTTAGGCACAAAGCCAGCTGGGTGATCTTGGCCAGTCACTCTGTCTTAGCCCTTGTAAGCAGACAAGGCAAAGCCTGGGAAAAACTTCCCAAGAAAATTGTCAGGACTTGTCCAGGCAGTCTCCAAGAATCAATCATGGTTG